TATTTAGGGCTGTCTACGAAACATTCAGTTTACCAAGGATTCAAAATATGCTATATACTTTTATAATACGTTACTCATCACTTTGGTAAGGGTAACTTTTTACTTTGAATAAGGATAGAATCATTACATTACAAAAGAAAAGTGATTTACGCCCACATCTCTGATAGAATAACGATCTTTGCGTAATAATCGTAGTCCTAAAAGCAGGATGAGTTATCCGCTTGAAATGACTCTGACAACATTGTGTACTTGATTCTACGTTCTTACGTAACGTACGACTGATGAGTAAGAGACACCTATTTTCTGGTAAATCTTGCTATACATTGAGAATCATAGTCGCATTAAAACTTTCAAAAGAACCAAAACGTAAACAAAATAAAACTACCCACAATATCGTCGTTCATTTGTTATCAAAACGCCATCTACCGCGCCCGCCGGAAATCATAGCCGTAAATTTTGCATTAATGTCTGATCTGATCGTACCGTCCGGTTGTCTGTAACAATAAAACTCAGTCACTTTCAATGAACGAGATGGTCTCCCATGTTCAAACATTTCAGTTTTAACTGCCGCAATAGTTTAAACAAATCGTAAAATTACGTCACACCTGTAAAGAAAAATAGACACTATTAAAAAATAACTTAGGGCTAAAGTTGGAAACTTTTGATAGGTTTTTGCAACTCGACTTTAGTCATCTTTTCTTATGTAGAAACACATTATAAAATTATTCGCGTTTTCACATCATTTTAAATTATAAACGTGTAAAACATTTAGGTAAAAAAATATATATCGTATTTTATTGGCAGCAATGAAGTGAACGCTTAAATCAATTAGCTCTCTGTAAATAAATAAATCCGTAACGTTTCGGGCGCGCCATTGATCTTTATAATGTTTTTATAAACACTCATTTATAGAATTTCGTTAAGGTGGCCATCTAGACGTCAAAATGTAACGAACAAACACGAACGTCACGTTTTGCGAAGCGATCTGTCGACGTTTGGAATATAGTTCCGGAATTATTCTTTTGTTTATTTCAACTGTTTAAAATGATTCCGATTTGAGTTCGTTGCCACTGGGTTAACTGCGCCGATTATTATTTGAGTAGTCTAGTGTTGTTTATATAAAATTATTTTGTTCAGATGAAAGTTTTATTCAGAAGTGATTCATACGTGTATTTGTTCTCAATAGCAATACCTGTTTAATAATACGTTATAACGCAATTTAACAAGGAAAAAACTACAGTCCAGATTTTAAAAAAATATATAAATATGGAGATTTAATTTAATGAAAATGTCATATACATTCAGGTACAATTTACTGTCTCTACGTACCACACACTTTCTCAAGAAAATTCTAACATTAAAATATATATTTGCCACCATTTTAGTGAATGTTGAGTACAATACATTATAGCAAATGTCGCAGCACTACAGTCCGCGTCGCGTCAGTCAGAGTGCAATGACCTACTTCACGGCAGTACATACAGTTGTTCCAGCTGTTACAACGGAACAACCCTATCTCCGCTTAGGGATTTTTAATGGTCACTAAGGGTGCAACTTAATGTAGATTTCTTGAACTGAATGCTAGGGTGCTTTCTTACTAACTATTGGACAACTTTGATTGCGGTAGTTTTATTCCCAATTTTATTATACAACAGATTTCAAATAACATTAAAACTTAATTCTTAATCACTAGAGTAGCTTTTCAGTATAATATTTCTACAATTGCTAGAAAATGACTTAGTTAAAAAGCTGTAGTAGTCTGAATTACAAAATATAATTTATGGAACGATAATGAGTAAATTCTTGGGGCTTATAGGAAATTTTACGAGAAAATATTCGTAGCGACATCGACAAAATTCGTTTTAGAATATTCTGCAAAGTTAAAGCAATTTTTTCCGATAAAGTTACGAATATTTTGTAGTAAATTTTCATACTAGGCTCCTAGAAATTCGCATTACATATTTAATAGTATCTAGATAAACGTTGATAGATTCGATTGCTGAAAAATAAGATGGAAAGTGAAAATAATTGCAGCGATCGTCTGCGCTAAGTATTTCGTTAGGAACATTAATAAATCTGTTTATCAAAGCAACATCTGTAATACTTCGAAATGCACTCAAAATAAACTGAAATACTAGCGCAAAGCCCCATCTTTTCTCTGAGCGAAAGAAAAAAACACTAGTTTTTTATTTACAATATTATTGTACAAATCCTAAGGATATAAACAAGTTATAAAATATTTATGAGTTATTATTCTTTGTAACCAATATGTTTATTTTATATCGATGCCTTTTTTAATACGGTCATGAATATTTATAATATTATTCATATCTAAAAATATTGTAGAAAACATTCATTAATTTGACTTATTTAAAAATGTATTTCTTATTCTTGAATGTTGAATTCTTCTTCTGAACTCTTCATTCTAAATTTATAACTTTCATTCATTTAGAAAATGAATGAATATTGAGCATAAGATTTTAACATAAATAATTTACGATATAAATTACCTTCATTCCATTTAAACAATATTTAAAAAAATTATTTGGAAAACCTTAAAATAAATTCTTAGTTTATCATAAATATATATAATTTAGCTCAATGTTTCTGTTTACTTAAGTGTAAATCATTTATTTATATAATTTGTATCAGTTGCGCAAACCAACGGATACGGTGCGAGTATCCATTACACGTTCCGTTAAGTCTGTGCGTACACAAACAGATGATTTACGAGGTATTTACACGTCATCATAATCTACAAATATCCTATTTAATGGCAAAACAAAATCCGTTTTACATTTTGTTACAATATCCGGCTATCGATATTCGATATCAGTAATGCAGGTAATTTTACTTATAGTTGATGTTACCACAGACTTTATAAATATACGAATCCAGGCTACAAGTAATTCTTGACCCAATTCTCGTTTCATAACTAAATTATTATGTTAAAGGCACAACAATAAGGAATTTTATATGATTTCCTTCATTAATTGATAATTAACATTGTTTTCTTTACTAAAGATTACCTAAATCGCAAATTAACTCAAGTATTCTAACTTGTAACTTTAATGTTACTTCTTACTAGTCTTATTAGTATAATAAATGCGAATGTTTGGATGGATGGATGATTGTTTGAAGGTATCTCTAGAACGGATCGATCTCGCTGAAATTTGGCATAAATGTAGAATATAGTTTGGAAGAACATATAGGCTACTAATTAAGTTTGTTTTTTATTCTTGGCTAGTGTTAAGATATGATTCACTTGAGATATAATAATTAATATTCCTGTCACACTTAACCATGGGTTTCCAAAGACATGGAATGGCTACGTAATTAAATATTTTTGTGGAATTAAGCTGTCAATGTTATGGTTAAACAAGTTGTTTGGTGTCACGTAGCGGCGCGGCGCGGCGCGGTATCAGAAGAGCCGTGCCGGAATCAATATCAATATAGATAATATAATATTTGCAGAGATTTGAGCGCTGACAGTCGCCGTCCACTTGTGATAAGTGATACACCGTGTTATTTTATGTTTAATTTTACTGCTCATTTAAGTACTTTTGTCACTAAAAGCTCAAATATAAAATGTTTTCTTCCGCTCTATTTTTCCACCAAGATGTTCATTTGACTTAATGTTTTAGGTAGTAATTACCCCGGATTGCATTTACAATTTGCTGTCTAAAATATAATAATGAAAGAGTAACCTTGACTTCTGATCAATTTGGTTATAACAACTTTTTGTCCTTGACAACCCCACTGATGCTATATATGGTTAACTATATAACAATATTCTAAGCTTTGAAAAAACATATTTAGCTTTAAATTTAGTCACAATTGTCTCAAAATATTAAATTAAATATGCTTCAGACTTATCACTGGCAGTGGGTTCCCAGTTCGTGGAGATTTCCGTCGTCATTCATTATCAACGGGTGACACGTCGGCGCGGCGGTGACTCACTGCGAGCCAGACAAACTGTCAGACATACATATTATAATAGTTTTCTTTTTGAATGGATTATAAGAGCATAATTCTGTATTAGTCACCAAGTGATTGTGAACTTGGCAAATATAATCATAATATTTTTGATCTCATAGATTACCTTAGCCTTCGTTTACTTCTAATTTGTTTCTTTAAAAAGCTAATTTCTAATTTGGTTTGATTCGTTTCCATTATTAGAACTGATGTAATAATATTGATAAGCTGTCGTCCGAGTCTCCGCCCTCGCGGAATTGAGAAACTTAATTAGTAGCCTATGTTTTCTTCAAGACTGCGTTCTACAAGATTCATTCAGCCGTTCTGTAGATACCTTCTAACAAACAAACATCCATCCATCTAAACATTCGCATTTATGATATAAGTAAGATGTATCTACTTCTAAAATTAAAGATATGTGAACTAATTATTTAGATGAATTCCAATTCTGTTCTCTGTATTTATATAAATACTCACGTCAATCACGTACAAGCGTGGCAAGTAACACGGTAGTACACTATTTGTGTGGGCAAAGGGTTTAAAACCGGCGCATGACTCAACTCTCCCCTCCTCCTGCCCATGCTTCCCGCGACTCCCCGCTTACATCCGCGTAACGAACATTGTTCCAGAACTGAATTACATACAAAAGTCATCCACTGTTACACAATAACCGCAATTGCGTTGATTATATCTCCTTAATCTTACTTCTTACCTTATTAATATTATAAATGTTTACATGAAGGGATGGATGATGGATGTTTGTTTGAAGGAACAGAACAGCTTAACGGGTATCGCTGAAATTTGGCATATATATAGAACATAGTCAGGAAGAACACATAGCCTAATAATTCAATTTTTTTAATTCCGCGCGGACGGAGTCGCTGGCGACAGCTTGTTAACCAAATATGTGATATATAAGTAATTTTACTATTGTAAAGATATTTTTAACTGAACAAAGTTTCGAATCTGTTGCTTCCTGTTTATTTTGCAGTTTTATTTATTTTTCCTTTTTTACTTTTTTTCAGTTCGTGAAGTGAAAAAACAGATGCCAGTGAGTATTGTTGTTTATGTTGTGTAATGTATTCAAAAAAAAATTAATAAAAAAAAATAACTAACTTAATGTTAGTTAAATACTAACTTAATGAAACTAACACTAAGCTCTTTTGACATTAACTAACTCCGTGAGTTTTTAAAATTGCATGATATAGATAAAATATAACCAAGTTACTACGAGTTATACTTTTCCCACCACTAATTTTGAATATTACTTCAGTACATAAAGTTAGTTTCAGAGTATATAAACGAACAAATCTAACTTATAAATATATAAATACGTGCACAATGTTTATGAGATTTAGGCACAGATTGGTTTAGATCGAAATTGAACACAATTTAGTAAGTAAATTTTTTGTCATATTTTTTTTTTCATATTTCCGCTTGTTAAAGTGATTCGTTCTTCTTTTATCATTGAATTTACATTTCTCTACAATGACACGGTCAGTCTATTGAAGTACGGTTGTATAAGAGCTTTTACGTAGGGACAGGAAGCTTATCAGGGCTGGCCACTCGTAGGTAGGGGTTAAACCTTGCCATTGTTTGAGGCTTTTGTGTAGTAGCTATATATGAGGAAAGGAAAATAATTTTTGCATTGAAGCAAAGAAATATAAATGTTAATAAGAAACAACAACGCTTCGCCAGACGATCAGTCTTTTGTTTGAAAATGGAATAGGATTTGTACTTCATTTACATTTAAAGTAAACTACTTTTCAAATCATACGAGCAGCATTACGTAACTTAATTGATGAGTTTTAAGCCTAATTAAAAAACTTCATTTATTTACAGTTTTTATAAAAGTAATAATACAATAAACTGAGGCTGACGTAAACAAACAACATAAAAATGGCGTCCGGCAAACTTTGAAGCGTTATTATCCGCTGCCTACTTTCTCAGCGTACGCTTTGTATTTCATATAACTTTGTAGCCTGCACCAGTTAGCCCATTTTTCCATAAACGCGACTAACTTCATTACTGCTACACCCGTGGAAATTTTAGATATATAGCTCGTTTAAACCGCAAGCGGCTAATAGCGCCAGTGGAAAATAAGCCTTAGCGCAGTGTAACTTATTAGCGATCTGGAATCAATTTACAGATTTTACGTAGCCGCAACCACCTTACATAATTGTGACTGATTGATTGTGGAACGCGTAAATATAAAGTGATAATATAAAATAATGCAAGTGTTTAATAAATTATTATCTTATGCCGTAGACAAACATTGCGCTGAAACCTTTGAACTGTTAAGAACCTTACGGACTTAAAGATGTAATAACTTATTAATGCAAGGTAATATACGTTTAACCTTCTTATAAGCGGTTTTTATTTGTGACGCGAATTCAGAAACACTAGGTGAATAAGATCAAAGTCAGGATTTCAATAGTAATCGAAAACTTTGTAAGTGTTCTAATGTTGTACAAAATGGAAAGATGAAGATCGATTCGGCAGTTACTAGTCGCTTTCTACGGTTATTTCATCACTTTGGTTTATAATTTAGGTAAAAATTTATTAAACATTAATTTATTTAAGCGGAATGTTTTTCTCTTTTACTTTTTTCCATACGGAAAAATATAATCATGTTGTCGACAAAATGATAATCACATTAGTGTTACTTTGTACGAGAACTGGCTCACATCCAACTGATATCTGATGTACGACAGATTACCTAACACATTTCTTTTTTGTCTTATTTTCTGACGTAGTGCATTTTCATAATGTTTACAAAGTCTTTGCTGATCCGGGATATTGGAAAAAAAACCTATTTCATAAAGTTTGCTTAAAAATACCGTACAATAACAACACACATTCATAAAACAAGGGGAATGACAGAGATTACGTACTTCCATTTAATAATATAATTTTAATGAAAATTGAATATCACGTTAAGTCTTAAAAAAGCTTTACTAAAAATATGAGCTCATTTTTATTATAAAAATAAAAAAAAACACTTTTGTCAAGCATAAGGCAGGTTGACGAGACAACAAATTACTGTTATAGGGACAGTGAATGCAGACAGACCTTGGTTCCAATCTTGTTATAATGGGGGGTGGGGAGTAGTAATATAACAATGATTAATATAAGTACAAAGAGTATACGTGATAGACCTTCTACTTAAGCCTTAAGCACTAAGACATATAATATCAGTAGGTATTTCTACATTTTTCAAATAATCTGTGGTAAGCTATAGACATTTTCATGTTATGTTATTCAACGTGTACTTATTTAGAGGATGTAAACATCTTATGATAACATTTTCAAGCTATAATTATAACCATCAATCAATCAATCAGTATAAACGATTTCTTCAGATCTATTGCTTTTGAATTGACAAGTGATTAATGCAACAAACGCCTTCGTTTAAACAAGATTCATTTCAAATTCAAACAAACTGAGAGAAAGAACAAAATATTTTAAAAATTATAAGAAAATTCACAAACAACAAAATATGTAAAGACCGGGGCGGTCTTTCCGCCCCGGTCTTATCTCCACAGCTGTTGTCGACTTAACTCGAGATGTCTCGAGATGTTGCCGAGTGTACAATACCCCACATTGTACAATACAAGTGTACAATACGCCATATTGTACAATATAAGTGTACACATTGTAAAACCGTACTCAGACCTTCACAATGCGATCTCTTTTCAACTAAAATATCTTATGGTCCTCTTTTGTTTTTCTTTACACGCTTCGTTACGCATAAACCAATTATGCGTAGGCTTTTATTATGCTCTAAAGACGACAGCAGTACATAATGCAAGCCAGCGTTATCCAAAAATCTCCAATTATTTTATTATTTACAGGTTTACTATTATAATTTTAATATGTAAAACGTTTAACTACGTTTAATCCACATAAGTTAAAACCTAGTTAATTTCCAATTATATCATATCTGAGTTATATTTTGCCACTGCAGGTAAAGGGTGCGTATAGATTGATTTATTTGTCGTCATTACAAAGGCCTACGCGTAGTCACGTTTCAATAATCATGATGTTTGCTAAGGAACCAATATGAGTGTCATAATATGGTAGATATATGTTCTAAGTTAAATTTAATTAAAACATTAAGTTTTTATTAGTTTAATCTCTGAGTTACAAAAAAATATTATCTTAAACGTAAGCTCTCTATCACAAGGGTCTTAATATCGATTTATTAATAATAAACCGTAGAACAAACGATGTTATATTTAGCTCAGACGAAAGTAAAACTCGGCTTCCGTTAAGAAAAGATTTCTAATATTTTCTCACCCGGATGAACATAAGCCGGTATCTCGTTACACCACTGCTCGATGTCACATTTTCCCCAAACATAACGCGAAATTGAAATGAGTAGGGTATCACAGTTTGGGTGTTTCTGGCTTAATAAGTTCACACGTACGAAGTCACATCTAGGGAGTTAGTTTGTGATGAAGAAATATGTTTGTTTTGATAAAGACTTAGATGTCTAACGTAGTCTGGAAGATCACATAGACTAATAATTAACTTACTTTTAATTCCGCGCAGACGGAGTCGTAGGCGACAGCTAGTTGGAATTAAAAACAAGAAACCACATTGCTAGCAATGTTATAAGATTTGAACTTTCTTTACTTCACTATATTAAGTTGCTATGCTCGAACAAGTTATATTAATAAGCTGAATCGATTCTCTTGTCCTAAGGGACACGGTTCAATTCATTCAGAACGTTTCCATTTCTGTCCACACCCACTACAATTAGACAAATAACTGGGATCGATCTTTTTGTTCCTTTAATAAATTGTTACTAGTTGATTAAAATAATATTATTAAATATTAATAAAAACATAAAAATTGATAGTAAACATAGTAAAAGAGGATGAATTCAATTTAGTTTTTATGTAAATATTACTGTGAAAAACATTGGTAAAACTTACAACAAAAAAAGGTCTCCGGAGTCCTTCTTACTCGCCTCACTTTTGTGCTCCGAACACTCCACCTTGAAGTGTATATATCTATCGTATACGATATATTTTGCTTGTTTCTTTAGGCTACAAATGTTTACAAATATGTAACACTTCTTAACATTATCACGAAACAAATAAACTAAAACAAAGTTATTTATCAAATGAACAATCCTGTTAGCTCTCCATTGACGCAAGTTGTCTGTCAGAGGTCCGTCTCGGGTATTCTTATCAAGTTATTTTTACCTTTATAAGGTCAGACGTGCAATGTATTACGCGCAATAGATACGCTCGCTGGTACATTTATATTGTTTGCGATACATCTACATCCGGATATGGAATGACGTAATTGTTGTTTATAAACATTAAAACAATCTGCATGTTTGTTTTTGTGTAGTTTTGTGTTGCTTTATTGTTATTGTTGTAGAGAATTTAAGAAAAACTATGCGAGTCAAAAGATTTTGAATAAATATTAATAGTGAGTTTTCGAGCAAGAAACTAAGACTATATAAAGTCTGTAACTGATGTAGATATTCTATCAGGATGAAGATAATTTATATCAGAGAGTTTGTGCGAGTACAAGCGCTGTTGAACCCTCATTGCTAATCAATTTCAATCAGTTGGGATGTGTTACATTAACTCAAGTGACTGCGCGAAAGCACTTGTACCTTTCCAAGGATACAACTACGCAATATTAAATAATTTTCGTAAGATCTGATTATTTGTTTGTTGGTACTAAACAGGCTCCTAAACTACTGGATCGATTTGAAAAAATATTTTACTGTTGTGAAGCTACACTATTCCCGGGTGTCACAGGCTAAATTGTTTACTAAGTTTTTTAATTCCGCTCGAGCATAGTCACGAGTGTTAGTAAGAGATGAAATGAATGGAAAAAACGTATTTACAAAGTAACACGATGATAGGAAATTAAGTTATTTCGTATTAGTTTATGTCGTTGGTTCTATTTCCACTGGCGCGACCGCAACTGTTGTACGTAATGATAGCCGTGCACAAGTCGCTCTGCTAGCCGCTATGTGGAAATAGGTACTAAAAAGTAAACGTTGCCCCTTGCGTGTTGATGTCTGCATGATATGTCGTAGAGGAATGAGTGTTCGTAGTTTTGCAGTTCACAGATATGCGACTCTGAAAGTTGGATTCAGCACAAGGTAAGTATTAAAGCGGAATAAATTCAGACGGTCGTTCTGTGATCAGTTATCTACAAAGTCCTTATCTAAATCTATACAAAAACTTGAATACAATGATTATTTAACTACATATTTTTAACTTAAAGTTACCTTTTACCTTGTAGGTACAGTAAATACGAATATTTCAAAATGATTACAAACTAATTGCCATCACGTTACGTATTGTAGGAAACAAAAGAAGCTAGTTAAATATTCCCTGTCTATATGATTAATCTAAATAATACGAGTAAATAGCTAAAACTGAATGTATGAAGAGACTTGCAATTTAAACGTTACCTCGTCTCTCGTTTCGTTATGAATTCAAATCGACAAACTGCACGGAAAGCTTCATTCCTGTATTCAATGTTCGGTACACAGCATCTTAATGAATATCGGATCCCGTCCTCTGCGAATTATGAGAAATATACTAGTGTTTCCAATTAGTTTGTCTGAATTTACATTAACACATACTAAATGTAGTATGATCTGCACTAAGGGAGACCCCTGAGCACTCTGAGTGCGGTAATAAAACTTACAAAGTTAGTAACGATTATTTTTCAATAAAGCGACAGATATATCTATGACAGTCACGTAGCGCTAGTGGAACTGGTAAATACATTGGTCATATCAATAGCAGTTGTGCGGCTAATCGCTAGTGGAAAAAGAGTCTTACAACTAGTTCCCGGCTATTAGCGGTTCAAACTAGCTTAATTAGTGTTACCCGAGAAGCCACATACAGGTTGATAAAATCCCATTGCATTTGATGCATACTGGTCAGGTTTCTACTCATTACAAACATAAATAGATATTGGAGCTGACAGGTTCAAGGTTTTATGATCCCTTCGCTGTAGTTCACGTTGTATGTATACTTCATAGAAGTTAAAAAAATTACCAGCCATGGTCATGTCTAGATATGATCTAACTTCTATAGAGTGACGGCTGATTGTTGTGTTTAAATGAAATTTAATCAGTGTTAGTTTTCTAAAACTCATCGTGTGACAAACTTTCTATGTCGTATTTTATGTCAAATGTGGCGTGTACCTTATTGGAGCAACGCCACACGTCCGTTTTCCTACATAAACAATATTCTTGTATTAACAGAGGCACGTTTTGAACGGAGATTATATTCATGTTTCTATTGTAAAAGATTAACCGTATAATATGTCCCAATAGCCCCATCTCGTATAACTGGGCCGCGTGACTCAATACGTTCGACTGGCCTCTGCCACAGAGCTCTGAAGATTTTATAGCTCAATAAAATGAACGACTTCCAAACATTTTTCTTCAAGGTGTACCATGTACGATTTCGTGAATGTGTTCTTGTAAAACATATTCACAGAAACAAAAACACATCATTGTGCCAGCAACATTTTAATGATGATTGATACTAAATTTATTTTGTCACTAGATGTCGCTGCAGACTTCGTCAGCGCTGAATAAAAAAATAAAGTAGCTTATGTTATGCCCGCGATTATCAGTTACCTTCCGTCGAATTCCCAACTAAAGCGGTTCAGCCGCTCCGGGGATTACCCGGAACTAACGCGGCCTTGTGGACAGACAGACAGAAAAGCAGAAATTTTAAAAATTCGTCACAGCAGCGCAAGCGAATATGATTTATTTATCCCGATATTACATAAAAACACTCCAGTTTTATTAATATGTATAGATTAAGAGTTAGTGTATAGTAGAATCTTCGAGAATAGATATAGAAAGAAGTAAAAATATGAACCTATTAATAACGTTACTTCTTCCTCGTGTTGGTGGTAAACTGATAATACCACAAAAATAATTTTTATCAATGAAAATAAAGTTTATTGACCCGTACATTGATAGTACTTCATTCATCTTTGCATAACATTAAAATTTGAGTGTCTGTATGTAATATAAAAACAAAATCGTATGCCTGATATATATATTAGTTACAGAAAAAGAAAAACTAATTTTTAAAATTATAGTTTGTCTAAATCTGTGCGTAGATCGCAATTTTTTCGGGTAATCTCCGAAAAGGTTGGACTGATTTTGTCGGGGCTTAGACGGCAAGGTACCATTAGGTAGCATATCATAGGGTACCTTTTTTAAAATGCGCCGACGAAGTCGCGGGTCATCCCTAGTTCAACATAAATCCGTACTTACAAATGCCAGGTGCGCTCGCCAGATGTCGCTGCACTGCGTTTTTGTTGGCTTCAGTCCAATTCGAGTAGATTTAATATATTTGAAATAAATCGTTATCGATAACTCTACCACGTGAGTTGGCCAACGATCAACATTGACCGAGATCATAACATAGCGACGACAACTGCATTTTGTAAAATACAGTTTGTGCATGTCACCGAACGATCGTGCACTTAGAAAATTCGTAATACGACTAGGTATTATATACGGATAGAAAACCGAAAAACCACGCGAAACAATTAAAAACTACATTCGACCAAAAAGTATCGTAAGAAAATATGTAATGTTTACTTTAACTGTAATGTTTATTATAAAACGGTTTTATGAACTATCGAAGAATATTGTTTAACCTACATCGAGGGTTATAAGTAGTTATAGATCCGTGTCAAGTAAATATAATACATTTACAGCAAATATACGACTAACTGTTCTTGATACTAGGACATTGCGTTTAGTGAATTATTAATCAAGAATAAATAAGAGCGCTTACGTCTAGACAGGACCATTCTGAACCCACTGAATCTACATAGTCCTCTCAAAATAATACATATAATTGTCTGACATTAGCTTGCTTTTTCTGCCTCACCATCAAGACATTATATTCATAGTTTAGTTATCATGTGCGATATTACATTTTATCTATTTACTTTTAAAGTATAAAAACTTTTTTAATTATTATTGCGTAAATATATATATATATATTATATATCTGTAATAATATTAATTTCTGTATCATGAAGCTTAGTTACTCATACATTTAAATATAAATTACTTCTAGTTTAAGAATTACGTAGAATAGACAAAAGTATACTGTGTGTATGGACGGAGAAAAGTGTACAATGTACTGCGAAATAATCAGAAAAATACCAATTTGTGAAACTGCATAATTTCATCTTAAAGATTAGAATGCTAAACTAGACTGCTAATAATGTTTTATTAAATTTTAGAAGTATTTTGTAATGTCGGTAAAAGGTGTACAATAATTATTTTGAAAAATCATTTTCACAAGTATTTTTCTGGTTATGATGCGCGTTGTGCTCTGAGCGGCGCGGCGAGCGGGGCGCGGGGCAGGCGGGCGGCGGCGGCCCGGCCCCGCGCCGCCGCCCGCTCACCCGGCCCGTGCTTGCAGGATGCACGCGGTGGGCCTGCACTCCGCCCTGGCCATCCGCCGCGAGCGTCGGCGCCGCGCCGAGCAGCAGCGCGCTCGCGAGCGCCGCTACTCGCTGCAGTCCACCGAGTCCGGCCTCACCTCGCCGCACTGCTCCACCGGTAGCCTGGAGCGCCGCCGCCGACGTCGTGCTGGCACTGCCGACAACGAGGTCGTCTCCTCGGTGGGCATGCTACACCTTGGCGTCGTGTTCCTCGTGCTGGGCGTGTTCCTCGTCGCATCCGGCTGGTTGCCCGATGACGTTACCGCCTGGAGCAGCATCGGCTCGGTGAGCTGGTTCAACGAGCTCGTCTGCTCGGGACTGTTCGCGCTCGGAATCGGCATCTTCCTGATTGCGCTGCACAAGTACCTCACCAAGAGCGAGGAGGAAGCGCTCGAGGACTACGTGCAGAAGCAGTTGACGCGCTCGCGCTCCGGCCACAGGCTCGAGCGCGATGCGGAGACGGGCGGCATGCACACCAAGCATACGCGGCGCGCGCGCGCCACGGAAGTGCTGCCCGCGCCCGACGCCACGCACACCGAGACCTACGTTGAGCCGCCGGCGCACGGCTTCGTGAACGCGCTGGCGGGCAACGGCGACCTGCCGCCGCCGCTCGAACAAATCGCAGAGGAGGAGACGTCGCTGGCATCGGAGGCAGAGCGCCGTCGCGGCTACACCCGCGACTCGTGCTCGCAGGCCTCCGCCGCCGCCAGCCTCAGCCCCGGCTCGCCCTCTGACACACGGGAGCTGCTCGCCGACCCCCGCTATATGATCATGTCGCGAATGTAGGCGCCCCCCCCCACCCCACCTTGCTCGCTCCTCACTAGCCCTCGCCCCGCCCGCCTAGCGCCTCATGCACCATCACTGTAGTCTACTTAACCTTTTACACTTCGGTTCTAATGAAGCCTTAATTTCACTTTAGAATAAATTATAAAAAGAATGTGAATATAGTAATACCAAAGCAACTTTTATAAGCAGACAAGCGAATCATTGAAAATTTAGTTATTATTTCGCTATAAAATCGAAAGGCTTCTCTAGTACTTTAACTTTTTTGATCGCCTCCCTATTTTAATATTTTTAACAGACGGACCAAATCTAAGTAGATTGTAGCCGTAAGTAATTGATGTAATAGCCCTTTGTACTGAGAAGTCGATAGTAAACACAATCTGTAGCAAGTCTTTATTACTTGACTTATCTTAGTTTACTGTACGTCGTCAACAAACATTTACTTGATACATTCTGTATACATTTGCTTGAGACTGATTGTTACATATACTTTGTTTTTATCTTATTTCCTTACTAAATATATAAGTGTATTATTAGATTTAGCTTTCATCAAGTTATTTTACATTGCACGACTCTTACAACACAATATTAAAGTTTATTTGTCTTTGAGAAAGCACATCTTTGATTACTATAAGCATTTATTATATTTAATATTAGATTTCTTTACAAAGACTGCAATACATTCCAGTGATCTCATTATCAATGATTGAAAATTGGCTGTGAATATGCATTTTTAGTTCTTTCATATAATACTATCACGTTATTGACATTTCAAACTTCGATGTTTGATTTGAAAACACAATGGTTTAAGTTTCCTATTTTAATATACAATATGTAATCAAAAATTAAAAACATAAATAAAACTTGATTCTATGGATTCGATTCACATAATAAGGAAACACCCAAAGGAACAAACTTTAAATATAATTTAAACTTTTAATACATCTCTCTCTCTGTCTCTCTGTCACTCTCATTTTTTCTAAATCATTTTCTGTTCCTTTTTAAAAAAGACATAAACCGTTAACGTAATTGTAAACATTTTTATTATAAATGTGTCATAACCAAAGAGATTCAATTATACTAGCTATAGAGAGGACATTATGAACACATTCCTTCAAATATATTATGAATAGTCAGTAGCGCGTCTCACAGACAAACTACAAAACAGTACCGAATAGTAGTTTTGTTAGCGTTCGGTTTTTGTTCCTAATGTGCCCTCTATTAATATTTTAATGTCTATGGCCACACTCAAATGTTAAGCTAGCGCTAAGGCTGTTTATAAAATGCCTTAAAACTTTATCCTTTTTATATAACTTAGTATATAACTGTACTATATACATCGAGATTATATTGTCAAATTAAAAACAATGACAATGTTCACTTGATGTATACACAAACTAAATGTATGTAATTTAATTTTTTACATTTTATGTGTTAGAAAAATATGTAGATAACAATATTTAGTCAAATGAGACAGCGTTTATTCTTTTAACTACTCAAAGTGGAGTTAAAGATATAAAAAAAATAAAACTCCTACGTAAAAATGTCAAAGATTTAGTGTATTTAATAAAACCCACTGCTTCGAAAATGTTTATTTGATTTTACATAAAATAATTTTGATATTAGCCCAAATGTACTATAAAGTTATTGACAAAACAAATAACGTTACCATAGCAACCATCCATACATCCTGTTTTGCTTACGTAACCATTGAATGGAAAGAAGTGTGTAAAAATTAAATATTGTCAACTGATTTATATTTTTCTAACACATATGAAATACAAATTTCTGTGTACGTTTTTAGTGCGAGCTAGCTTGTGTGTAAATATTTTTACGTGAATCAATGGAGGAAAAATTTACTAATGGTTACTAAATCAACCTCTCAGTGTAGGTTTGTCTTACTAAACGTTCACTAAGGGGCTGCGTTAGTGACCACTAGACAACCACGAGTACAGCAGTAACACCGAACTACGTTTATGTTTTTTTTAATGTTTCATTTTTTAATATATTTTGTGTTATTACTATTGAAGGATCATTTAAAAAGTTAGTTGTATTTTGAATAAAAATACCTTAACTAATTTCCAAAAATTATTGATGTTATTTAAAATTGTAATTCTAGCACTTGTTATATTTCCTTTCTTTTGACAATTTCAAGTAGTTTTTTTTATTCTTGTTAATATTTTAAGAATTTATAATCTTATATAAATATAATATTTATTATGTATTTAAAGCACATTTTAAATTAATTTTAATAAACACAAAATATAATAGTTTTAATGATAAATTAAGTATTAAAATGTATTTCTTATTTCTATAAGCTATAATAAAACAACTATCTGAACGATGAAGGGTATGTTTTGTGCCATAAAAAATGGCCAATCTGCGCATTCGTTAGCGTTTGTAAAGTTAACATCTCGAGGAGCAGAGCAACTAATTGCTTTCAAGTTATTCAGATTTTATATTCTTTTCCACTTAAAAACATTTAATTAGATAATCCAAATCAAACTGTGAGATGAAAATGTTAAGGATTGTTTTATAGGAAACTATTGCAGGAATTATTATACAACAAAGTTGTAAAAGCAGTTAGTTGCTTAACTTATTGAGATTTAACTAAAGCCGTAACATAAGAGTACTGCACTTCTGTACCTAGCGGTGTTATATAGTTGTTGCACATAACATTAATTATGAAATTTCTCGTGCCTATACTTTTATATCTAGATATTTTTGATAGTATAATAAATATAATTCAATTTAATATATTCTATAGTTAAGAATCACGTGTAAATAATCACGTATTTCTCAGCAATTTATAACTTTATCACATTTTATATTTATTAGATGGTAATCGAAATAAGGTCCTGAAATACTAACTTAGATGTAGGCCTCTAACAAGATGGATGGATAACTGGTTAATATTGAAAAGCTAATTCAGGGTAATAATTGTGAGAAAACTTATTCCTTCTTTAGGTTGAAATTACTTATTAACTTACTCCCCTGGCGCATCCACCCAAAGTGGGTCTTGGCCTCCGACACAAGACATCGCCAAAGTAGCCTGTCTTGCGCCTTCTTGCTTGTAGCACCCGCAGATTCAGCTCTACGGCGCCTACGGTTGAAATTATGAACTTAAAAATAACAATATTTTACATAAACCACATGTAAAAAGGCAGGAAATGAAATTACTAATACCGATAAAATAATAAAAGAATCTTAATACTTTTGGAAAGATTTGCTTTCATAAGAGTTTCACAAATAGTCAAAGTCAATTGGACGGAAAAAGAGAACGATTATTATGATCCTTGCGAGAGGTCTACGTCTAACAATCTTTTGGAAGATAATGATATTTATTAGAAAATTATATTATTAAAATGATATTGCACATTAATAATATACTACTTTTAATTAATTGAGATCATCAGTAATAATTTATTGATTTTTCTATATTTTTTCTCTAGTTCCTATCTGATACTGATGTATGGTTTCTCAACAGCGATTTAAAAAAGCGTCAATAGGCTAATGGTTAAGGGTACGGATTTCCGATCACGAGGTCGGAGGTTCGAATCCCGCCATTCGACTATTGTCGTAAACCATATCCTAGCACAAGCCTAGAGCTTAGTTTGAATGGTAAAAGAAATATTAGTAAATTTACAAAAAAAATTGCTAATATTTTATAAAAAAAAATTAAAGTATATTCATATGTTTTTATGTATTATGTTGTTACAGTTATTATTTATTGTGCAATATCTTTATATAATGATGGATTTGCCTGAAGCACGCTTCATGCTGTTAGGCTTATATACATATATATTCTTAAGTAAATACATCGTAATATCGACTACCTAATCTTGTGATTTTATATACACTTTAGCAAAATATTGTCTGTAGTGATTAATTTCAATGTAGTTCACAATTTTTATTACAGTTTTGATGTTGTGAAAAGCTCAATCGTGTTTGTTGTGATTTTTTTATGCAATTTCGATGTCGTGAAAGTTTTTATATATAAACGCTTTTGCGCCATTTTCAATTTTGTACTTGCACTAATTGTTATTTTTTAAAGTATTCATAAAAAATATTTTCCAATATTACAAAACTAAAGAAATATAAGTAAGATTTAGTTATTTTCAACACTACCAGTTAAGTGTTACTATGAGTTTCCATTGTCTTAACATCTCTACAAAAATATTATAATCTATAATATATAAAAAAGACAGCTTTTTGTACAGAATATTGACAATGAAAACCATCATAGAACTGTTAAAAACAATTCAAAATAACGTGTCTTAAACAAAATCTTTGTTAAGCAAATTGTCTATGATAAGTTGTAAACTTTAAGCACGATTTCTATTTATCACATTTTGTAATATTTATATTCAATTCTAAAGCACTTCGTGAATGTTTCGTTTAAAAATTATAACAATATTTGCTTAAGAAAATTTTATAATAAATTTATGAGAATAACTGACATAAACTCGCAGTAAACAGGCTGAGTTATTTTGTTGAGTTTATAAACATTATTATTACTACATAACAAGCTCTATATTAACTCTTTATCAACAAAGAAACACTAAATGTACATAAAGAGCGAGCTTATGTAAACGAGAACGTAACATTCACCGCATTGATCAAAAGTTAGTCTAGTCATGTATTTATTTTTACTCAATTTATAACACTTATTATTATAGTAAACTATAAATAAATCAAAGAATTTTATTTCTAAACTAATAATAATAAACATAATTAACTCATGATAACACAATCATCCTTTAAGTGAAAAGGTGTAGGCAGAAATTGCAAAACATATTACACGAAAACTATTTTCACACTAGTTTAGAATTTGGATATCAGTATTGTAAGGAAGAAAATCCGACACTGTGCCGGTGTACTGGCGCAACACTAGCCTTGCTAAAATATCGACGTCCCCTCACTAATCATTCTGGCACTTGACTTGGTAACAAAAGCTCACCATTCGTGCCAAATGATTCTAACTAATAATGTCTAAAAGTATAAAGTTCTAGTATCTAGGTTTATAGAAAAATTACTGAGAACTTTCAATTGTTATAGAAACTAACATTACATACAGCAGAAATCAATAATAAATCATGCAATATTATTGTTTTTTGCCTTAACTATAAATAATAAGAATCGAAAAACTTAACTCTTTGTTTAAGAGGGCATTAAATAAATTTTTTATTTAATTTCATACAAAATATTAAAAGATACATATCTATCTATAGGATTGAATATTGATTTCGATAGCTACCAGTCATTCTACTCGTATACATGTAAACAAGACAAGCTATGAAACTGAGAGTAAGTTAGTGTCGCATTTGTCGGTCTGGCTGGTATGAGAGGTGCTCTTTGGCGTCGCGCCAGCCCCCTAGCGGCGACACTCACACAAAGTGGAAACGCTAAGTCGTTTGATATTGTGAACGTTGTTAACAATTGAACAGAATTCTATTTTTAAATTGCTTTTTTGTTTATGTAAAAGTATTGGTCTGAAACAACTGAGGATAATTCAGTGACTTACTGATATCCTAAAGCAAGTTTTCCATCTATTTTTTTAAATTTAGACAACGCATATGCAATTGCGTATCTATGGGCAACGGTCATTTTGCTTTTTCAACGATCTGGGGTAACAGCTCGCTCGTTTGCCACCTTCTGATAAAAAAAATAGTACCTGTGTAAATTGAAAAGAAATAAGTATATATATTCGCGTATTTCGCTTTGTGTAACTAAAATAACTTGGGTAAATAAAGTACAGTAATAAGTCTCAGTTACTCATAGCCGAGCGGTTCCGGAATCCCTCGAGACATTGACGACATAAATTCAATTTAGTTTTTCTGAAAGCATTTCTCGGAAATAATATTACAAGTCGAACTTTCTTACTAAAGAAATAAACAAATAAAATGTTATTTAGCAATACAAATATTTGAAATTTAGCTCGTGTTTTATTCATTTAAATTCATCGCCTACGCTTTTAGGTAAATTTTGGATGAAAACTAAACTTTTCTCACTTAACAATCTTCTGTTAGGACAAAATAGATTTTTAAGTTTGTTAATTTAAAAAACGTACTATTTTATGCAGTATAGAAAAATGCAATATTCCTTTTCATAAACTATTGAAGGAATTTTAGTATTCGATAGGAAGTTTTAATTTGGTATATTTGTAGGTGTGGTGCACACGCGCGACTGGCGATATGAAATTCCGCTCAGACTTCAATTTGAGTGGACATCGATCGGATCGCCGGGTTGGCGACAGATATTTGCGTTTCATACTACGTGGATTATGTCCGTGCCCAGAATGTTATATTGCCTAGAATCTATATCACAATTTCTACAAAATCTATCCGATAATTATAATTACATGTCTTACAAAAACATCTTTTGAGAAGTGAAAGTATTATCGTCGACTCCTTCAAAATGTCGTGACGATTCAAATAATATTCTTTATATATTGACTAGCTGTTGCCCCGACTCCGTCCGCGCGTAATTAAGAAAAAAAAACTGAATAAGTAGCCTACGTGTTCTTCTAGACTGTGTTCTACGCCTGTGTTAAATTTTATCAAGATCCGTTGAGTCATTCTGGAGATGTTTTGGGACAAACATCCATCCATCCAAACTTTCTCGTTTATCATTTTAGTAAGATTTCATGAAAATACGTTCTTTCATAAGAATTTAAACAGACAAAAGTAGCTATAGTATGGTTACAATACTTCAAGGAAGAATTATATCACACTTGAAAATCGGTGATTGGTAAAATTAAGACTAACAGCGTAATTAATTATCTAAAACGCCTATACCAACTTCTTATAATCCCCACACACAAACACACGTGGCCTAAAGGCATATATAACTTTTATAAATATATCTAATTTCGTATAAAGTAATAATGTTATTTATATCAACAACATTTTGGCATATAAATGGTAAATGAAACGTTTGCGTCATGTCATTCAACTTGCACGGAATTTTGTTTATATCTTCGTATCTTAATAAACACATTTATATTAACTCGTTGTTGATGTTCTACATACATCTTACTTCTTTATAATATTATAAATGCGAATATTTGAATGTATGGATGTTTGTTAGAAGGTATCTCTAGAACAACTGCATATATCTCGGAAAAATTTGGCATAGATATTGAACATAGTCTGGAACACATAGGCTACTAATTGGTTTTTTTAATTCCACGAGAACAGAGTCGCAGACAACAGCTACACAATATGTATGTTTCGTTGTTAGCTAAAGTAATAGTCATGAATGTCGTTCATTAGGTGTTGCGGATGTCCATAGGCGTGGGTGACCACTTTTCTTTAGGGATGCGATCGCTCGTTTGCCCCTTACTCTTGTAAAAGAATGGACGTTGCTAGTTACATCAAAGCCTAAGGAGTATAAGCTCCTCGATTTGTTTTTAATCTGAAGGATAATTGGTCAATAGATAAACTTAAAATCTGGTGATAAACCGCTACGACTTAGGGTCCTTCAAGAAGCGTATCAGCACCTCAAAGGCCGGTAACGCATCTGCGGTTCCTCTGGTATTGCTGATGTCCATGGTCGTCGTTGAACACCTCGGTGTTCCCGCTGCTCGTTTGCCCCCTTCTGTTATAAAAAAAGTCTGTGGATATAGATATAGTGTATGGATGACGTATAACAAAGGTGAGAATTGAAAATACGTCGGATCTTCGCCAAATGATAACTTACTGTCAAACTCCTTATAACGGGGAAAATGCTTAATAAAATTTCACGAATTAGCATACTTAAAACTTTATTTATAAACGTTAATTTGTTTTCTTGTTTATTTCAGATATGCTCCAGTCTTTATTGCAGCCAAGAGATAATCAGCGATGTAAGTACATAAAAAGCTATTTCTTGGAGAGTAAGTGCGTTCGTAAAAAATAAACACTTGTCTGGTAAAAAGGATAGAGTTCTATTTAACATGCAAATATCTCTTTTGAGAGATTCACTCGTATGATATGACGTCACTGTATGACTGGATACGTAATACAAAAGCGAGCATTTTAAATGCAAATGGAATCCTACGTAGTAAAGAGATAGTGACGTCCTTTGGGAACCATCGCTTGTACGCTTCCCACTTTTTCTGTTTTTAATATGACGTTACATTTTTTATCTTGACCTAGATTATTAGTAGACGTGGGACATACTGTAATCCTAGCAGGAGCAATGTTGGTCGGCAAACAATTGAAAATTGAGAACAAACAACTTAGTCACAGCCATATTATTTGCGGTTTTGGGAAGTGGAACCTTCCTTTTGGGGACTTAGTACCTAAAACTTTAACCATGTAGTTAACTGAATGGTTCACAAAGTGTACATTACAGCGAAGATGATCGGCGCAATGCCCGCAGTAGCCGTGCGGCATGAGCGGCGGCGCGCGGAGAAGCGAGCCGGTCGTCGTGCCAGCACGCTGCCCGGCCGCGACGATGACGCCGAGGTGGGCGGTCCATGCGTTCGCGCCGAGCTATACAAGATACTCAAGGTAACAATCACTATTCCCTAGTTTTTAGGAAAATAACGGTATCGTTAGTACGCAAAAAGTCTGAAATACTACTAGTGTATAGTGGAAAATCGGTCAGGCGAAATCGCTAACTAATTCAGTACTTTTTCATATTCACATCGGGTCTTACAATAAACCAGATATGCCGTGGCAAATAAATAATCATATTTAAATGTATGGACATCGACGAGGTAGTACTACGTAATAAGTCTAATGTGTAACTGATTGGATAGCTGACGGCGTTGTACGGCGTGGTATGCTGCTCGCTGCTAGGCATCGTGTTCCTGGTGGTGGGGCTGGTGCAGCTGTCACCACGAGCCGAGGCTGCGCAGCACCGCTACTCGCTCATGGGCACTGGCGGCACCATGCTTGCACTCGCAGTGTCCCTCTCCCTGCTGCGGTATGATCACAAAACACATTCAAACATACACACTAACTACATCAAAAAATATCTCAAATAACACTACTTAGTCTATAACGTAATATGCGTATTTGAAAAGATATTTGAATTTTACATTTAATAGTTAAAAAGAGATGGTTTTAAGATACTTTTGTTAGTGGGATTATACTTAACAAAAGATTATTGAAGCTGTTTATGTCGCATTTATTTTTCTAATAGATTTATTATAAGTTAAAATAGGTAATTTATTTTAAGACCGCCTACATCACCGCTACTTCCACCGCAAGAGCCAGCTGAGCGCATTGAAGCTTTTTTTTTCATCTACTTTTATGTTAAACTCTAGAAATAATATGCGTCCGGTTAATTATTATTTAAAACTTGGTTTATATTTATACACATATTGCCGTGAAAGAAAAAAACAAAAATTCTTTTCTTCAAATATTACACTCCAGTAGCCTTCTCACCTTTGGACACTTCACTTTTTATTAAATTCAATATATTATACTTTTTTCTTGCCTTTGATTTTTTTGTGTCACATGTCCGGACATCCAGCATAAACGGCAGCTAAGCCAAACAACCAAATAGTTAGCATTTTGAAATTCTCTCACAAAACATCTGATTTTCGCCAATACATCTGTAATAACAAAGACGTGTCACTCGTCAGTTTCTCGTTTGTTTGACTTCTGTCCGGACTGCGATTTACTTTGATATTAACTCCGCGGATTTGTAGCGAATCGTGCGTCATTTGTTAGTATTCAAATGTTTATACTAATCACATCTCAAAGTAAACTTAGTTACGTATTTACATCAGAATCACAAACTACTGTACTTTTGTTAACAATAAGTAATTAACGTGTTTCAGATGTCTGGGCATACACTGGTACAAACGTCAATTTGAAGAAGACGACGATGTCTCGGAACAGGGCGCGCATCAGAACGGAGTCGCCGACAGGCACGGCCACGTCGACCACAAGACCGGACAAGTTAACCATAAAACTGGCCACAATGACCATAAGGCCGGTCACAATGACCACAAGACCGGTCACGACAACAAGACCGGTCACGACAACAAGACCGGACACAACGACAACAAGACCGGACAAAATGACCACAAGACCGGCCACGGTGACCACAAAGCTGAGCATAAGACGGCCAATGAGAAGCCAAAACTCAAGACCCAGGCTAGTGTCGGTCGCGATCTCGACCTCGCTAAACAGCCGTCAGCGGCCAGCGACACTTAAATCTTCGTATATCGAATACCATAATTCGATAAAATACACTACCGCAATTTAATGTTATTATTGAATGCGGATACTTGTAGCCCATCGTTGGGCAGATACTTTGCCCAAAATTCGGTGTTTTATTGTATATAGTAACGTGTGCTCGATGTCTATTATCTGAATGTTTTTCTCGAGCGAATGTACTGCCGGGATCTGTCCGGGGCGATGTCTTTATCACTTCATATCAAATGATACTATCACTACAGAATGCCTCTTGTACATCAAAATTACGAGATCTGAATGCAATTAAAACTGTTACAAAACCAACAACGACAAAAGAACGAATTGACATTTAATAGTTCGGCAAAGAGTATGTAACCAAAGAGTATGTGACTATTTCGTAGAAAGAGGAACGAGCAAAAAGACATTTGACAGTTCAGTCAGTCAGACCAATAATCATAGAGTAAAAATACCATAGAGAGGCAAATCCAATAGACCTTGTAAGGCAATGGTACTCTGAAAGTGTGCAAGAGGCATTCAAAAAACAAATATACAAAGTCGGTGTAAGCTAGTTTAATATTGATATACTTCGCTCATTCATATTGTACTCGATATATTGAATCTATACTGTAAACTAGCACTGTATGCGTTACCATAAATATATGTTATATCTATTTTTGTGCGTTGGAAATACAACAAATATATTGAAGATCAGTTTATCACACCGCATCTATCATATAAAAGCAAATTTCATATATATTTTATGTGTCTAAATATATAGCTTATGTGTCTACTATATACTAAATATAAATAATCATTACATCACATTAAATAATACATTTATCTTGTCTCTCTAAGTGTTTCTATTAATTAATATGTACTTGGAACTAAAATTAAGCATTTCTTTATAATATATTTAGTTTACCATTTCAAATTTAAATTTAATTCAATAATATTTAACGTAATATCCCTTACATATCATTTTTATTAGAACTTTTGTTTAATTATAACTCATTGAACTCAAAATTCATCTAAAATATTCCAACTGTACTATATTTTGTGACGTTACTTTAAATATATTTTTGAGATATTTACAATTAAAGATAAATCCCGATTTATATTTGCTTTGATATATTGGCAATGAATTATATGAAAATTAATATTCTATATCTGTTCTTGGACCACGCTTACGAAGTCTTAGCAATTTTTTTAAAGTCGCCATTTTTTTTATTCAATGCTTCGCCGTCCGTTTGGATAAGTGTCCAATGAACGTTGAATTTTAAATTTAACGTTTATTTTACGCGCTTCTGGGAATCGTCTTTTGTTTATTCTGTGAATATAAATTAATATCAAATTACAAAATTCATAAATGTAAAAAAATCGTAACAAAAATTCTTGAATCTTATTGGAAATGTTTATATGTAAATTAATTATAAATTTACTAGACAATATTGTACGTATGAAGATTATATTAAAAATAAATTAATTAAATTACGATAATGACCAAAGTTAAGGGAAAAATATTATTTTTTATTTAAATAATCAGCAAACACTTTGATATACGACATAATGCTCAAAAGCAATATTTCACAGATTAGACATTTGACGATTTCTCATTTCCTCTATGGTTTATATTCTTACAAGCTATATTTACAGAAAATAATATTTATTTTAGAGCATAACGAAACCTTTATCCATTTATAGAGTTAAGAAATATTAACACATGTTTATGACCATGTCACTTCGAATGTAATTGGTGTTTGAGCTTACAATATATTGTGATTTTATTTATATTAAGTTTTGTATATGTTTCTTTTCATTATTATACTAAATACTTTCCTTTAATGATATATCTATAAATTGAGTTAATTTTAATAGATTAAAAAAATCCGTTCGGATACATTTTTGTAATGTTGTTTAAATCAGATATTTTAGTTAGTAATGTTAAATTATGTATGACATATTTTAAAAATATCTTCAATCTTTTTCGAGTTGGTATGATGATGTATTTAAACAAGAGATGTTCTTGTTCTGACAGATATTTAGATGTTTGTGTATAATCAATGTTTATAGGATTTATATCTTTAAATTAGAATTTTACTTATAAGTAGGTGTTGTAAATCGATGTTTTAAATATACTTAATACTGTTTTAGAGCAAGCATTCTAATAACAAATAACTTCATTTCAACTAACATTGCATTTTAAATATCTCCATTCTCCATACACATTTAAATTTGATTTATGTTTTGTATTTTGATAAATATCATTTGATTTTTGATAAATATAACGATGTTTTTATCCTAAGAGACTGAAAAGTGTTCTAAAGTAAATACCAAGATTTTCTTTTTCTTAGTAATTTTTGGACTCCACTTTTTATTTATTTTGGCTTACACGTTTGTTTCTAGTCATTTCATTGTAACCCGGGTCCAATTAGGGCCATAAATTTACGGATCTCGAAAATTTCTTGTCAAAATTAGTTTATAATTTGTTAATTTATTTTAGTTATTGCTATGGTTTTAACGTTATATACTTCAAACAGTAATGTAATTTAATTTTTACTTAACCAAATAACTTAAATTCTGTGTATGGTAAAAGAAAATAATATTTTTTTTTAAATTTCAAAGTACTTATTGCTTTGTTTCTTATTCATTGTAAAACTGTTTTCTACATATATTACAAGTTCAGTGTTATAGATTAAGTAAATAATATTAACAATAACTCTATAATGTTGCTTCTTAAAGAATTTAATTACAATATCTTGTTGTTTTTGCCAAAGATTTTCGATGCGTTGTACACTGACGTCATCGACTCAGTGTTGCCACAATTATCGAGTTAATTTAGCCGAATTATATTCATAATGACAACGTCAATATGTTGCATTGTAGCTTTTTAATATTTCCGTGCCAAAGGTACATTGAGCCAATGTAAAGTACCGTCTTTAGTTAGCAGATTATAGAGTTTTTTCTATAAATCTCATGAATATTAATTAAATAAAAATATACTAATTGCCGACATTAATTCAGTGATTTAGCAAGGAATTGACGTCAGTTTCGATCCTTTGATGACCTGTAGTATCTGATAAACAAAGCTTGTATTTGGCATTTCTATTTATTGTTAGTTGTCGTAGTTTCGTGGCCGTGTGTATATGTGTTATCGTATTCTTCGCCGAGAGGAGTACCAGACATTCCGTGGCTTTGTACGCTTCGAAATCGCCAATCGATTATGTGTATTCAATCGCATTGTAATAAATGTTTAGAGATAGATGTATTGACGAATAAACGTAAATGTTATATGGTTAAGATTCAAAGGAATTTTTTGTTAGTACCTGCAGAGAGGCCGTTTAGGTCTCCCATAGGTCGTCTGTCACCCTACCTAAAGCCTAAGCTCTATTCACTGTGATAAATAATAAATGTAAGGCTTATAATTATGTGTGGTCGATTTAACTGAAATTTGGGAAGGTTTTTACGAGACAAAATTGAATCGTTCGCGAGGCGTTCTTGATTTAAAAATTGCGCGCTGTTTGGATATCACAGTGAATACGTTACATTTCCATTTCCATGTCCATGTACTCAACTGTCATCCCTTGTACGTTCATCGACTTCGGTTAAGTTTTGTAGAGATTAGGTGTAGTCGGAGCTGGGACTTTGCGCGCTATACACCTGTGTCGATCGATCATTTTTCGTAACCCATTGGTATTATCAGATTCAAAAGACCTGATCAATCGGGTGTTCTGAGTTGACCAGTTGGTACTCACGATGCGATGCAACTCATTTAATCGACGAGTCATTCTGTTCGCGATCAAGTGACAGACGCGATGTAACCTGTGCGTTCAAAAGAACCAGCATCGTTGGTGGCACATGACCCGATCATGTAAGAATAGTGATCCAATTGTGATCGACACAGATGTAGCAGGCAGTCCGCGAGTTCGCACAATCGGGAACATATCTGGACTCATGCGGCAACCCTACATTTAGTCTCTACAGTAATATAATTTAAAATATTGACGTGTTTTATATTTGGATATTGATATACTTTTAATTTAAATTACGACTGTGCTGTTTTATATCTCATATATTTTATACCGATGACTCTAAATAAAATGTGAACATATCTAATGTGTTTTTATTTCATACTTTTCCCCGATTAGAAGAAATTTTTATTGAAATTTTTAACACAAGTATGTTTTAGATAAAATTTTGTTTTTAGAAACAAAAACAATATTTGTTGGCAATTAATGAAGCTTTTAAATTGTGAATTCTTAAAACATAGATTTTATTGATTACAAAATTGCGCCACCTATTGACCAAATAATGAAATTTTAAGACAGATGTATGATAACGTGATGAACTAGATGTCACTATAACACTTTTTCACGCCAAAATCTGGCTAGTTGTATTTTCACGTGAAAAATTGGAAATAATAACACTTATTGATGAAATCAAGTTATGGAAATAAATGTTTATTGAATTAACGATAACCGCATATCGTCTATATTTTGTGACCCTCCTATTCCCGGATTTCAATAATACAGACTCGCACTATGCACGGCACGGCATGGCAACGTCGCATTGTACGAGCGGACGCGACTACACGCTCTAGCTCGCAGTATCAATCCGCATGTTAATGTTGCCAGAACATATATTTTTTCCTTATTTCCAATCAAATTTATAAATATATTTGACTATGCTCGAACAAATTGTCGTTTAAATAAAAATTTATTAGCGAAATAGGCCAAGGGAAAATAAAGTTTAATGCATAAACTATTACCAGATTTATTAAAAAGGTCGAGAGCCGACCATGCTTCTGGTACGTCGAGCACGAAGATTACAATGATATACACAATATTATTATAGCAGCTTGGCAAGACATTAGCAAAGATATGGATGTTCCATGCATTATATTAAAATAGCGACATCTATCGGTAGTTTTGTGAATATCCTAGATAAACTTGACACAAAAGATTAAACTTGTTTAAACCAGTACCACTGCCATCTATGAATGTTGTTTGAAACTAAAACTAATCATAAGTTTTAAAAAAACGTATTTTTATTATTTACTATGGACACGCTCTAAATAAAATGGAAACGCTTGCGGGATTTCTTTATAAGAATGTTAAGTATGAAAAACATAAGAGACGTTCGGGAATACAAGGACGGATGGCAGCATTTTCCACGACATGGTTCGTTAACAAAGCAGTGAAGTCGGGAAGCATCGCCAACAGTGATGATGAAGCGGCAACTGAGGATGAAGTCATGGTGAAGTGTACACCCGTGCGGATGGAACAGGATAAAGGCCTTCTTTTCAGAGTACCTGACGCCGCCTAAGAAATAACGCAAGAGCCCCAACGAAGATTTCGATAAAATGTTCTTAAAGTTGCTTACGCAGTACTTCAAGCAATTAGCACCGATTAGGAAATTAATGGTCAGAAATAAAATACAAAAACTTTTAATATAGGAGATTACTGCTCAAAAGAATAGCAACAAAAGGTTATAGAAGTAAAAACTGTTTTGTACATATACAAATCTCAAAATCTCTCTTATCAAAGGAAATATAGGTGGCAGTGAACATATGTTTTACAGTGCCTACAGTGAAAATTTACTTTTTTTATCATAAGGTGGCAAACGAGCGAGCGGCCACCTGAAATCGCTGAAATAGCGAAGTGACCGTTGCCCATAAACATACGCAATTGCATATGCGTTGCCTACCTTAAATTGACGGAGGAGAGGATACACAGAAAGAAAATATTTTCCCTTCCCATGCATCCTCT